TCGGCTTCCCACGCGTAGGCATCGGCCACTCTGCATGCAATACTCGTCGGAGGAATATTATTGCGTAACCCGAAACGTCAGCGGGAATATTCGGCTTGACCGACCATTGCGGACACAAAAGGCCTTGTGCTAGCGCGTTTGTGTAAGGGTGCCCCGACTCTTTGCAGAGCAGATGGAAAAAATCGATGTGTATGTATAAGAAAGTACAGAAAAAGCAACTCGAGAGACCGATGTAAATACGATTTATGTATGCATACATGAAAATGATTGAAAAAAGGTATAACTCGCGCGTATGGGAAAATCGTGGCATTTTGCGACTTGTTAAAATCATCCAAGCCTTGAGCAAGACAAAATGCTCTCAGTACTATAATACTTACAATATGAGGGGACCTCCACTAAGCTTTTATTGAACTGAAAAATTTTTCACGATGACTAGCTATCGATGAAACATCGATAGATTCAATTGACAAAGATTGAATGCAGATTAATAACTCCAGGCTCGATATTCTGTACTCATTGTAATTTTTTCCATGCATTGATTAGGTAAAAAATAAGTTGAAACAGAATGTATCCTAAAAGTTGTAAATTTTATCAATAACTTAAAAATTCATTGTTCATTTGCAAAATTTTTTTATAAATAAGATATTTATTGGAATATATAGAGAAAGGAATATATTGGAATAAATAGAAAAAAATGTACTATGAGTAAAAAATACCAAGAATCAAATGGGGAGGAAATCTTTCATTGATCTGGTCAGTATTTTTTTGAATTTCTACTGCCTTTTATTTATTATTTTTTTTAAGAGTGTATAGATTACGTAAACATGGGAAAAGGACTCTTGAATGTCAGTATCTCATTTCTTGGGCTTCGGGTTTCTGTACACTATACGTATATATATGCTTGGACTCGAGAATACGCGCGAAGCCATGAACCGAGTCCTGTCTTTACAACAAATCTGTTATTCTTTGAGTTTTTTCATAAAATAAACTTCATTTCTTTCTTCAATTATATTTTCAAGCGAGCGACATTTTCAAAATTCATTTAAATGTACTCGATTTGCTCTTTTCTCTGCAACTGTGAAAGATGTCCTACATATTTTATACAAAGAGTCTTACAGTCTTCGACATATCTGAAAAATCATGTTTAATAGTTTGCTTTCATTACAGTCCCTTAACTGCAAAACGTGACTCATTTTTTGGCATATTGGCATGTCTAAGAACAATTTACAAGCGTAAATTACGATTTCAATTAATCATTACCCTTTGTTTCGATCATTCCATGAAGCGTTCTTTGAGCTTTTGTGATTAATACCATTCCAATGAAAGTCTGCTACGAACTGACTCGCATAAATCAAAATAACGCTCGTATCAGAAAACATTAAAGTACAATTCACGCCCCTAAAAATTAAGAAAGTAAGAAAGAGGTGCGTTTTTCCATTTGCGACTTGAACGTCAATAATAATATTAATCTTCAATAATCGATTCCAATACTCTTTATCAATAATGACATACATACTAATGGTGTTGAATATTTGGGCTGAGTAAATTTTATCAATCAGGAGTATTTTTGACCAACTATTTAGCCATATGATGATATACATTAATGTTCAGGTCCTAAAATAATTTTATCTTTTTAGAAAATTTAAAAATGGTTAAAAAAAAATAAAACATTTATTTTTAGGTATCAATTATCTTGATCAAACTTGGGCGTAAAAATTAGGAAAAATATGAGTAGAAGATTTTAATTTTTTTATCTATCTTACCAGATATTAAACTGATTCTAGCTCTCAATCATAGTTTTCCATATATCAGAGTCAATCAAATGGATGAAAGATAATCTTCTTAAATTATACAGTAGTACAATATTAAAATTTAAACATTTGTATGATACATCACACTGTGTGACACAGGATTTAAGATTAAAAGTTGTAACTTCGATGAAATAAAAAAAAATGTAAAAGGAAAATAAAATTATACTTAAGCGCTGTGTAGGGCGACCTATAGGTTTGATAGTTTCACTCGAGGTTGTGACCGTAACCATTCATGTTCTGAAGAAATTTACGTGACTCTGGGCTTCAACGGTTCGATTGGAATTTTACGACAAGTAAGGTGAATTTTGCAAAATCGTTAAATGCCAGAAAACGCAAAAGAATAAAAAATTTAACATGCAAATTATACGAAAAAGTTTTATGGAGATGGCTGTATCTCAGTAAAAAATAAACATTTTGAAGTTCTGAAGAATGCAATAGAAAGAGGAGGAAAAATCTTACTCAAAAATACGAGACAATTTTTTCGATTCTAAGCCCGTTGTCAGCCCTTAATTAATTATTTTATTTTAATGTACACCGTACTCAAAAAAATACCCTTTTGAAAAATATTAATTTTCTTATTTTGCGTATGTAATTTTAAATATTTTATCAATTTTTAATTGTATCAAATATAATTTTTATATTTCTAATGAACGTTTGGTCTTTGTAGACTTTCCTTGCTCTGAATATCATTGGTTTTCTTTCAAATTTTCATTTAACCTATAATCGGACAAAGAAAAAATTTTTCTGCGTGAAATCTATTTCTTCCTGTACTAGTTTCAATAATCTTTTATTGTTATATGATAATTTTTAGAGTATGCTTTCGAAAACACAAAGCGAATCAATAAAAAAACACAAATAAAAACAGTGGGCATAAATAGTTGGGGCAGAATAATTGATTCCATAAAACTAGCCATTGACTTTAAATTGAAAAATGTTGAGTATATAATGCTCAATGACCAATATAGAATCGTAAATAGTTGCGTCGAAACGTATCAACGATGTTTTGCGAGCGCCCCAAAAAATTGTTTACTACAACGATTTACATTTCTTGTACGACGACGACGTTCTACAACGACTCGTACCTCGAAACTGGGAGCCATGAAAACGTAAAAACATTTAAAAAAGTCATCATAGTATTTCCATACATCCGATGGAATATTGAGTACAATGGAGAAGCGAGAAGGGCCGAGGGTGGACCTCACAGCGTAACAGAATATGCAGGAAAAAAAACGAAACTCGACTAATAAACACTCGAGGCACAAGTTTTCCAAAGGAACGAAGTTGAGAGGGCGGCACGACAAATCATTCGGAGAAAAAAAGAATTCCATCGTGTCTAGGAGAAATTATCTATGCACACGCGCATCCTTCCAATATAACGACGATCCGACAACACAAACGCCAGGATGGAAAGAAAAGGCAGATTTATGATTTTTCTCCCTTCTTGTTAACGGGCGCGCATACATACACTTTGAAAGAACCCTGAGATGATATTTTTTTATTGAATCGTCGTTGTTCGAATAACGGTACGTGCGTGAAAAGTGAGTTAATCCTATTGCATTCTCGAAATTTTCGATTTTTATTTTGAAAATGAAAGTATGATTCGTGACGCGCACTGTACATTGGCGAACAAATTTTCAGAAATATTTAAAGCATAGGTTTTTGCAATAGTCTAATCATTTGATTTGGTGAAATTTGAGATTGTACAATTAAAATTAGTATGTATGATACGAAGTAACGATTAAATTATTGTTAATTTCTTACATATTCTAAGTCAAAGGCATCACAGGGCAAAGCTATTTTAACGTATCAAACTTTGATGATTGTGATACTTAAAAAGATATACAGGGTCGTGCTCGAGAGAAACGACGCATATTACAGCCGCAAAAAAGTTGTTTACTCGAAATAACCACATAATGATACTCGTAAAGAGCAGTTCTTACGAGTGTGCTTATAAGAAGCTTTTGAAATGTTTTCATCGTTCAGGAATATTGCCGAATTCAATCGTATATTCATATTGTATATAGGCAAATAGTACGCGCGCCGCATTACGTTTTTTTGCTCGCTTCTTCGAATAAAAAGCACTTCTAAATAAGCTCATTCGCGCTCTAGGTGCTCGGGCCAAGCGGCCACAGTAGAAGAAGTCGTCGACTTCTTTTGCCAAGACGATTGCGCCCATACAGCTCTCTCGCTTTCTTTCGCTTCTTTATTCGAAGCAAAATTCTCCGTTTATACAAATTAGTAACTAGAATGGACGCGAAAAGATTTCGTTTTGTGACTTTTTCAGCGTTCCTCGTCTCTTCGGTTTCTTTTTAATTGAAACCCCAACTGCACGAACTGAAGCCTATAAATAAGTCAATATCATTTAAAAAAAGTATCTGATCAATATACGCGCGTGGCCACAGAATCATATTTCCTTTGCCAGGGCTCTTTTTACACGACTCTTTTTTTGAACGAGCGTACGCAAACAACGGGCGTATTAAAGCTCGTAAAGTAAGTTATTGCTCGCACGAACACGTTCGCGAAGCCATCGTTTAGCAATAAAGCGCGAATCTTGAAATTCGACAACACTACTTTCGATCGATCGTTTTCATAAACATTTCCAATGTAGCAGAAATGTCAATTAATAGAGAACTATATATATATATCGTTTAAGGCGCGAACGCCGTAAAATAAATACCGATGTATCGAGGTCTAAAGTAATTGCGAGTACTTGGCTATTTTGTCAAAGGTAGTAGTGAGCTATGCACGGTGAATTTTCAACGTCAAACAAGTATCTGACGAGTATTGTACGGTTGAAGAAAGGACGCGTTTATATATAATAAAAATATTATATATAAATATGGGAAATATAGGGATTTATAGAGGCTCAAAGGATTATTATGACACGTCTTAATGTTTGAATTGCTCCTTTAACTTGACCTGCGCGATGATTTCATACGCCTACCAACACAAAACAGTAAATAAGTTTGACGTAAGCTTTTCAAATGCAGCGACGTCTGCCTTTAAAGGATAGTATTTATTCGTGAATGATGATGCGGTCTTAATAGTTGGAGAATCGGCTGCTCGTGTCGATACGCGTTTCACTCTAATCGAGTGTGAAAAGACCGAAACGATACCGATATCGTAATCTCTTTAATGAATCTCGAGCGGCGTTAATGTGTCTGCGGTGAAAAGCAAAATAAATAAATATAAAGTTGATATGCCAATTGTCTTTATTGGGTTATGATATTACAGTGAAAGTTGGAGCCGCTCTTGACATAATCGAGCTGGCTATCACTGGTTCTCTTGTAATCGGTCCCATTACTTGCCTACGGCGCAACGTCCGCGATTGTTGCGCAAAAAGTCCCGCTATTGGCAAAATTACAAAAAAATTCGTCTCGTTAAAAATCTGAATAATTATGTCTTACTGTGAGGATGTCAACGTTTTAGACTTACACCGCAGCGCAAGGCGTTACCGATGTTGCGGGAGTGCTGCTGGCAGGCACGGGCAGCTTCACCTAAGCATTTACGGGCTGCGCCGACGAAAATTTGCGTGAGGGCTCGGCTGACTATGGCGGCAGCCTACACCAAGTAAACAAAAAGGGTAATCATTTTTTCATGCACCACTTTATTTATTTTTTTCTTTAAATAAATCAGCTATACTCACAACTGGATTACGGTCGTCGGTTTCTTCGGCTTCGGGTTTCTTTGCTGCGTCTTGAGCAAAGACTACGCTGAAGAGGGCCAAGCCACAAACGATGAGGAATAAACGACTGAACATTTTTGCTAGACTTTACTAGTTTCAGGTAATTGTACTGAATGTTTCAATTAAGAGCAACGTCGACTTTTTATACTACTAGAATTTTACTACAAACGTCAATTTAAAACGAATCGAACACGGCAAATTGAAAACAAACAAATGACATGTGCGCAATTGACGCACCTTTATAACGTTTGTTTTCCTCGTTGCAACATATTCGTATGTAAAAAATTGAGGAAAATGAGCTGCTTTATTTCAATTTTATAGCAATTTCTTAGCTATTTGCTACTGAAAATTGTTCTGCAGGTGCCATTTGTTATGTCATATACGAGAAAAGCAGTATTTCAATACGAAGGAGCAAAAATGTCATATCGTCATAAATCGTCTTTATCGTGTGAAAATTTCAATAATAAATAATTCGTTTGATAGTGACGCAATGTAAAAGAGAATATTTGTATGAAATTGGGTTAAATTAATGAAGTTTTATTAACAAGACAAAATTGCGACAGTGAAAAGATTTTGATAGCAATTTTTGTACATGAAAGAGGACCAAGTCAGAAATAATTGTATATAAATTATAAATTATAGACAAAGCAAGATTGGTCTATGAAAAAAATGGATAATTTTTGCTGAAGATATAAAAGAGTATGAAAGGGGAAAATATTTGCGAGGGAGATGAGCAGCCGACGACAGGCCCGAAATGAATCATCATCGTTCAGAAGCACAATAGGCACACGCAATGAAGCGCTATCTCTCTCTCTTAATGTATACGTACTTTACACGAGTTAGGCGATCATCGATTTATCAACAAGGAACGGTGTAACATCGCGTACACGTAGAGAGATAGCCTGGGCTGGAAGTTTTGCCCGCAAAACCGCAACAATAAACTCGACGCGCGTCGATAAATAATAAAACGAGGGCGCGAGCGATGCGCTGTACAGGCCTCGTGTGCGTACGACGTCAATGGTCAAAAAATGCGAAAGCGCAGGGAGGAAACAAAGTGTATCACCAAGGGAGATGCGTACGTTTATAACAGACTAGTACGCGCATGCCATAAGCGATCGATCAAAAAAGTCTATACCGCAAAAAAGGAAAAAAATAAATGAAATAAAAACACATAAGCAGTAGCGGATGGCAATTATCGCTCGAGGATAGTTGTCGAATACGATGCCATGTGCTTTGCGCCAAGCGCGCGCATACACACGCTCAAGGCAAGCCTGTGCATGATAAATCTATGTGGCGAGCGGAGCTACACGCCGAGTTCGCGTGTGGTAACAGTTGTCCTCTGCTGATGTAAGCGCCAGATCGTCAAAATTAACGCTGCCCTGCGTGCAGATATTTATTCCGAACGCTGCAAGCCGACTCGTTACGCTGCTGCTCGCATCTTTATCCGTTCGGCTAAATTACCCTGGAAAGTAAAAGAAAAAAGAAAAAATAGCCCCGAATTAACATTTTATCGGTGAAACTGTAAATGAAAGATGTGTATTCTTGCCTACTCGCGCCATTTATTCCCGGCGTCAAGCAGCAGTGGAAGCAGCGACAGGCAGTATGCGCGCACCCCTCGCTCTATACCGCGTGCGCACATACATACGCACATTTTTCGCATTATTCTTCGAAATCAGCGACAGCAAGAGTAGACTTTATTCTGTGATACGTATATGAACATGTACGCGTGCTATGCTGTGGACAGTGACTTTGGCGTTGGCCAATAGCGGCGAAGCTCGTATCATCGCATCACGGGGGTGTTGGAGATTTCGTTTCGGAAGGGGCACGAGTTTGTTCGCACATATATACACGCAGCGGCTTTCACATGCTGCACGAACATGGGATTGTTTTTCGTGTACAGATATCTCAAGCTCGCCATTTTTACTCATCATCCGGCGAGTCCCGATATCTCTAGTTCCTGCTTCTGATCGTTTATTTGTGATAATGAGCTCTTGAGACGGCCGTTGAATGCCACTCTTCAAGAGGCAATATTTATTCTGGCTTTGTAAATGCGGCTAGAGGCGGAAAAGTATCGGCTACGATTAAATATAATCAAGTTTCGGCCTCAAGCGCTGAAGCGGTTAAGAAAAGAAAAACACGCGCAGATACAAGCACCGAACTATCCAATGTTTTTCTAATGCTCTATTTTCATCGACTTCCAGTCGGATTCACGAGTTTTTTGAATAAAGTCGAGCACAAGAAACAGAGAAGACGAGTTGCGCTGACTAGTCTGTCAAAATACGATCAAAAGCCGCACCAGTCAACGATCATCTCGAGTGAGAACGCGACAGAGACAGTTGACGGATGCACTGGAGCGACGAAATTTGGCACTCGTGTCCCCTGCGTCATCTATCACGAGATAGCTCTCGTGTGTATACACATCGATCGTATACCGGAGATTCAACATACTTTTCCGAAAAAAAAAGAGAAAAGAAAAAATCACGAGAGAGAAGAGAGAAATGCGGAAAGACCGAAATATGTGTATGTTTGTGACGCAGGCGCGCTCGCGGCTCGCTAAGGAATAATAAGAAGAAAGGGATTGTCTCGGACCAAAGTATATAGATGCACGCACGCGATCATCCTTCGGCACAGTCAGCCTCTTTTTCTTCATTTGCTTAAATACCCATATATATCTATATAAATATATGTACAGAAAGAAAGAGAGAGAGAGAGAGAGAGAGAGAGAGAGAAAGAGAGAGGCAAAAAGTAACAGCGCAACATTTGCGGATTACGAGATCGGCGGCGGCGTCTTCGTCTCAAGAGGATCGGCGAGCGGCGCCACGCGCGAGATTAGCAGTTTTTTCGCGGTACTTATTATTCCTTGACAAACAACAAAAGACCCACTGTTACCTATGCATAATAGACCCGGAGTGCTACTGGAATTTTTGCTTGCTCTTTTCTCCCGGTTTCGTTGCTGCCGTTGTGCCGTTGTTGCAGCCCAAGGATAGATTTCACCGAGCGATGCTCTCTTTTTCGAAGCTCTCGTTATTGTCCTGCGTAGCAGGTCACCGGCTACAGAGCTCCAAACGTCCATAGCAATGTGTAGGACAGTAGCGTAGGATTAAAGGATCGCAACGATAGTCAGATTAGACGACTCGCCAGAATCTCGAGACTTTGCTCCAGTCTGGCGAGTCAAAAAAAACTCTTTAGGGGATTTCGAAGCATGCCATTGACGAGTTGCGCGTACGAACGAGCGTGCTGAGCATTTTTCCGTCCTCGCGGGCAACGAAAATCACAAACGAGCACTATGCGCTATAATGGACTCAATACACAAATAAGCAGCTCGTGAATTATTTTTGTCGAAAAAAAAACGAATGCAGCTCTCGGGCAGTCGGCTGCAAAGTCGAGCCAAACGAGTGGAGCGCGACGCGCAGCCAAAGGGCGGGCCCCGAGGCGCTAATCAAACTAATTAGACGCGCGCCGCGAGGGCGTGGCCGATGATCGACGCTCAACTCCGTTCTATCACCTCTACTACTCTTCTGTACTAACTCAAGTATATAACGTAAACTGCTAGACAAGCTTAGCGCTATTTTTACGGGCTTCTGTGCGTAGCTGGAAATAAGTACCAGCTCATGCCCCGCTACATCTGCTCGCAAGTCTTGGTAGTATTTTTTATCTGCATACATACACACACACACACATAAGCGCGCTCACAATCACCTATACGTATTGTATAGGTGAGAATCGAGGTGGCGCGTGCTGTAAGCGTGTTGACCATTTATCATATTCGCGCCGACGCAGACCGGCTTTATTTTTAATTATTCATAAATCGCAACATTACCAACGTCGAACGAGTGTACACTTGGCGTCGTCAAGATATACCGCGTGCCTGTGAGTATCTTTGCGCTACACGAAGGCTAATGGTCCCGATCGCGTATCGTCTTGCTGTCGAGCTCTCGAGCATAAAAGTATTTACTAGGAGTAAGGCGCGTATTTTTTTATGCTCAGGTAAAAAGAGTAAAAGAGAGAGAGAGAGAGAGAGAGAGTATTATACTACGCGTGCGCATTATATTAACGGCTTGCGCCAACTGATGGACACGCGACATTGTTGGAAAAAAGAACTATGTACACATCTGCCGTTTTTCGTGTCTTTTCAAATATTTTTTCACCTTTTACACGCGTTCGTTTTACCATATTAATGAGTAATATATAAATGTCGTATGTATGTGAATGCGCAAAGTTACATCACGAGGCGTACGAGTATTGACGATCATCGGTAGCCGGGCTGCTCGGTGTCTCAGGAGCCTCGATGATCGTGAGGATTCTTGAGGTCACGCCTAACATGTATTATACGTGTGCTCTGATCGCGCTGGCCCGTTGTGCGGTTTCTCTCGACACTTTATACGCTTTCTGGAATCAAACAAAAGAATAAGAGGCGTATGTATAGCAAGACAATCGATAAAGCTCTTATATTTCTCTCTCCCTTCTTCTTTCTGCCTTGGACTTAGCGCATAATGTATAGTAATCTATCGACGAGGTACTTTTTCTTTCAAAGATTGGCGCGTACCCTTATTCAAATTATTCAATGACATGCGACGATTGCCGTTAGTCATTAGATTTTTTTTTTTTGATTTGCGTATCTTGCCAACACCTATACACAACGCACCAATGAGTTCGATTAATTCTTCGTAAGATATCCTAAGAATCCTTATAATAAAGAGATATATTATTAAGTTTTTTTTGCATATTTGACGCATGACAATCAGATTTTTTCTTTTCATCAAAATTCAAAATTGATTAATACATGTACAACAGAGCGAAAACAATTTTCAAAAATTAAGTCTGGTACGATCGGGCACCAAAAGCTTTTTTAGACGGATCTGCGTAAACACAACGAACCCAAGAGCGCCATATTTACTCCGAAAAAAGTATTGGAAGCAAAAGAGCTTCGATCGTGAGCGAGGCTGCTTCATTGTCGCGCGTATATGTACGCAGCATATATATATGTGCTCACATAAAAGTGAAAGCCATGACAAAAAAACTCCCTCTCTTTGTCTCGATCTGTATTCTCGAATTACTCATAGGACGCGTGGCGAAAAAAATTGTCATCCCCCTCGCATGCGTGTGTCTCTCGTGCTGCGCGCGGGCC